CAGTAAAAGACATAAGCATGAAAGAATCAGATTTCAGTTCCTTTTCATAATACTCAATCTCTATACATATTTAATGAAATTATGATCTGTAGTTAAATGCAATATATTCTTAGTTTGAAATGTGGTCGATTTCTTGAAGATGATTAATGTCAAAAGCAATATATGGATCGTGTATCTAATCACTTTTTCTTATTCAATATTATATCAAGTGAATGAAAAGATTTTCTTGGCAAAATTATACAATCATGAAATATCAACGAAGATTATAAATACGATAAAATTGATAAAAAGCAATCAAGATTTCGTATCATATAACGTTCAAGAATTTTCAAATAGCACATTAACTATTGATGACCATACAATGATTATATGTAAAAATTTTCTATTTGATGACGAATAAAATGGTAAGCTAAATTTTATTTGATTCTTGTTTAGTGAAACAAAAAGCATCAACTGAATTAAATACTTCCTGGTTTCGTATCAAATCATCGATCATTGGATCAAAAAATACCGCAATACTAATTGGTGTATCTTCAATACAAAACATGAACGAATCTTTTGTTTCGATGCAAGAATTAATAGTTTTCACCAAAAATTCATCTTCTGTATCGAACCTTGCCAGGACAAGCGTCAGAAATGTATCTTCTATCAATAGTTTTCAATGTGAGCAAATAAATTTATTTAGGATTAGTGCATACATTGGCATGTCAAATAAGATTATGACGAAAACAAGAACAATTTATATGCATGTGTAGTATACGATTGTATATTCTGAATACTCTTCATACTAATCAGACTTAGAACATCGGAACCAATGTCGGAGTTAAAACAGTAAAACAATCAAATAGTTTTACTCTTACATAGTAACAACTTTATTCTTCATATATTAAGAAATGAGCAAAAATATACTAATTCATAAGTTCTAACAAAAAACAAATATAAGAAAGATATTCTCATTAAAAAATAGCTCAAAAAATAGTATATATGCTAGTCGAAAAAAATTTCGGCGTAAAAGGTTTGACATTATAGGGCTCTAATCAACCTAAGTTTAGAAAAATTAAAAATGCACAAAAAAAATATTGATGTTTGATTGTTACAATAGTGGACAAAACTTTCTGTCCGCACAAATCTTAACCATTATATATATTGGAAGTTTGAACATATGTGTGCACATACTCAATCAAGAATGTAGGTCAACAGCAAAACCTTTTTTTCATAATAGAACTAGAGGATATCTAGTTTTTTCTTTGAATGTCACAACTTCAGAAATGAATGATCTTATTGGCCAGCTGAATCTCCATTATCTAGTGCTATGTTCTGGCTATCTGCTTTTTCAAATTACATTGAAGTTTATCCTCTCTTTCTAGAACTATGAAAATTCTACGAAAACCATGACTACCGGGAAAAATCGTCTATTACCACTTAGAAACCAGCGCCTTAGTGGTAGTTCAATAGATCGCGTTCAAGCTTTTAGAAAAGCTTTCTCTGTAATTGGACATTATTACGTAGAAGTTTTGAAATAGAACCTCATACAAAAGGACAATAGTATAGTCTTCTGATCAGCATGTTGATACCAAAGATATTTAGAGACAGCTGAAGACGTTATTTTTGTTAGCAAATGAGCTCATTTTTCGGATGAAGAAAGATCACAGAATTGATATTAGTTCCATCCAAGAATATCAAGAATCAGTCATACATTTGATAAAAACAATCATGCAAACTTTAGTAGACACCTTGTTTCCAGGCAATATTACTCAAAGGAAAAATAGGTGCGATCTATCATAATGCTTGTTGCACTGAAACATTTAAATACAGGTCGTGCTTCTAACCTTCATTCTTGCTAAAGTATCTAAACACAAGCTGAGCGAAAACTTTGTTATCGTAATGTATAGAAAAACTTAGCCATTCATTTACATTTATTTGTTCTTAGATTCCAATAAGGCAAATTCACTCATTGATAATACATAAATATTCAAAAGCAAATTTGACATCAACCGACTATTAATCATTAACACTAGTATGTATTTTATATCAACTACAGATGATAAAAAATCAAAATATTTCTGATAATTTTCGACATTCTTCTTTTTCTGTTATATTTAAGATACCATAAACAAAACAAAAATGTTCATGAAGATATCAATTGTTCCATCAATTTTTATTCCATTGAAAACAATAACTAAACTTAACATTACAACAATGAATACTTCATACCCAATTAAACTAATCAAAAACTCAAATGTTTCATTTATCAACATAGAAGTATGATATTATTAAATGAAAATAAAATCATAAAAAAATATTTATCAATCTGAAAATTTTAGAAACAAATGTTCAATTTACTTCATCGTCATCAAAAAGAGGTTACTGCCACTACATTAGCTAAGACTCTTATCAATTATCTCAAATCAACTATAAATCAAAATGTTTCACTTTCATTGAATCTGATTTTGACAATTACTGAAATAGATGATATTGTTGGTCAAATTAATGTTAAAGTTATCATAAATACAACAAATTTGAACACATAAAAGCCTGACATTTTATTTTAAAACGAAGAATAAACTTTAAAAACTTATCGATTCGTTATATATACCCCAAAACTTCTTTTAACCCTTTGAGTCCTGAATTTTTTCTATCCAACCTAATTTGATGAAACCACTAGGAATGATAGAGCTAGGTGTGCTAATGAAGTTTCACTATAGGACAGATTTTGTTAATCCCATATTTTTATCCGAGGGTGGGTGCAAAATAGGGAAAATTTCGAGAGTAGGCTCCAAAGATGTCTTTGCCATTTGGCTCAGGAACAAGCTACAGACCTGGGAGTTTCAGCAAATTAGGTTGGATAGAAAAAATTCAGGACTCAAAGGGTTAAACAATAGAA